TTAATCCGCTCAAGCAGCTAGCTTCATTTTGACTCATGAAAGAGAGAGAAAATTGATTTTGAAAATTTAATGATATTATATAATTAAATTAGTTGAAATAATGATAAACTAGAAGAAAATAATAATGAAACGGAGAATGGTTTTAGATATTTTAAACAATTTTTAGCTTAAATTTCTAAAATGCTAAACTATATTTTAATGTACAATGCAATTGTAGGTTTTAAATTGATTTGGTCACGAGCTAGTTGATTTCGAGTCTGGCTACTCCAATTGAGTATATGTAACATACTTCTATATCTTTCAGTTATCAAAGTAACCCTCATGAGAGTTACGTTCACTATCGATAACAATTCAACAACAGTAATGTTTACATGAACTATATAGCCTAGTACTTTAGCTAAAAAGTCATATAATGATACGCTGCATACAGCTTTAAAATTAATTAAAAGTTATTACATGATTTATATATAAATGAGTTTTACTAACTTCGCATTGACAGTATAACATCTAAGACCTAATTAACAGTTTTAAAATTTTTAAAAGTGCCATGACATGAGGTTAAAACTTAAGAGTTCAAATTAAAATTATGGATCAAGAAGTTGCTCAGAATTTATGAATCAAACTTTGTGAAACTCTTAAGTATCAAATTCGATTGAATTCCTATTGAATCCTAAAAAATTACATCTGTGTTGCAACTTGCATCCCAATTTCAATATCCTTGCATTTCTATGCATACTTATTAGTTTAAAGTATATAATAAATAAAAAATTTATCTGAATCAAAAACCGGAAATTAAATTAAAGGAAATTGAATCACTTCGGAAATAGACAGAAAAAAAGATTCAAAACCTTGGATCAGATATACAAATTGGATCAAATAGCTTACTTGAATAGAATCTCAATTATTGAAAACTTAAATTAAAACAAACCCTTGCTAAATATCAAAGATAGCAAACCAATCAATCCAATACCGGACGATATGAGCATCACTGCATACAAGCTACAACTTAACAATTCCATCTTTCTTAATGTTGGATGAACAATTAAAGTGAAGCATTAATTAAATGGAGCGGAAGCTCATACCATCAAACGGCGATCGTATGAAAAATTTTGATGCAAAGACCGAGATAGTATTAGACTTGAGAGGCGAGAAATCTAAGGAGGCGAGTCTCGGAATGTCCCGCAATAATTTTCGACGGAGGGAACTCGATATCCAGTGAGTGCGCGAGAGAAAAGAATATGTGATGCAGTCAGTGGCCGCTAAACGGTACGGTTCGAGCCGGCTTGGAGGCGTCGCATTAGAGGAGAAAGATACTAGGGCATGAAGTAGCACGAGGGAGCCGAAGGAGAAGCCGACCCGCGAGACTTTAAATCATTCATGCATCAATTGAAAATTTGGTATAGAAGATTGTCTAACTTATAGTAAATAGTAATGACATTTTTTAAATGTGTGTATCGAAGGTAAAAAAAAAAACAGTAGTTAATAAAATACATATATAATATATATTATATTAGAATAGTATATATTATTATATATCATATATATGAAAAAAAAAATTCTCTATTACTTTTAGTGACAAAATTAGCAACCCAAAAAAAATTTTTTTTTTTTTGCAGCTAATATCAAGATTGCTACTATTAGAGGCGTGCTTACTTACTTGTCTTGAGACCGCTAAAAGTATTTTTTAGCGACCATCTTTCTTGTTATATTTTTTTGTAATCGTTATTGGCCCATTTTCTTGTATGTGAACTCATTTATATATTATTATTTACCTTACCGTACAGATGTTGGTCTGACTCATTTTGTTACCCTACCGTCTAAAAAACTGTAAGAGCATTGCTGAGAACAATCAAAGAAAACACACTCACCTTGGCTTGTGTTGAGAGCTTAGCTTCCAATTAAGAGTTACGGTTCGAGTCTATGTGTAATGTTTGTGTGTGTGAGTTTGCTCTTAAAGCACTACAATGTCCCATAAAAAAAAAAAACAATTCAAGATTATTTACTGATACTTTTCACATTATGAACTCAATATATTCACATTTTAGATCAAATAATGGTATATTCTAATTGTGTGAGAAGATTAAACTCCTGTATCATGGATTGATATAGTGAATGCTATTTCAACAGGTCCATCCACATGGTGTTTCATTTTTTTTTTCAGATTTTCTCACTTAGAGAATTATATCTAGTCTAGTATTTACCTGTGCGGTGTGTATTTTTTTATTAAAATTGAGATTTATACATCTCTCATTAGAACACAAATTATCTAACTTGAGGTAAATCTCCAAATAGGGGCGAAATCAGTCTTATATTTCAAAGGGGGATGGGCAAATTTATAGAGTAACTGTTGGTGTTGTTAAGAATTCAGCGTGACCCTTTAACTGAAGGAAAATGTAATAGCATAAAAATTAAAAACAAAAGAAAATAGTAGCTAATAAAATCTTTTTATCTACCAAAAGTAACTAAGACATCTAAATTAATAAGAAATTTGATATTTAGCACCAAAAAAAAAAAATGACTATAAATATATTATTATATATATGGTCTTTTAATGACTGCATTTTTTTGTGCTTGAGTATCATAATACATGTTGTAAAATATCATAAACATTTTATATTAATTAAATTATTCTTAAGCAAAGTTTAGGTGAAATATATGGCATGATTGTTTAGAAAAAAAATAAAAGATGATGAATTTATTAATCATCAAATTCTACAAAAAAAAAAATTGGGGACAAAGGGGTTTTTTTTTGGGGGCCTTTTTTTGAAATTTTTGGGGACTCGCGGGGCGGGGAAAACTCCTATTTATTTTTCATTTATTCTTTGATCGTTGTATATTTCACATCATGTAGATCAAGTGGGGCTGTTGCCCCCTGATTCCCAATCAGCGGTCGCGGTCAGATTGCAATTGATGAATCTCTTTATATTTCTTCTTTGTATTTGGTTCATTGATTCCCTACATACACACTCTACAAAATATGTTTGAATTATGCTGGAGGCCAATTTCTTAAAGATCGTAAGCTCGATGTCTTAAGGCTCTTTAGGGGGGGGGGGGATCCGCCCCTGACTCCGACTCACGCTCGACTCAATATTATAAGTTGTGGCTCAAATTTGGCATTGAGCTCAAGCTTGGCTTGATATATAGCTCATTGTAAGCTCGTACTCGACTCAATAGCTCCAATTCAATAAAGTGTGCAACTTGTTTAATCTTTAATCATACAACATATAAGAAGCTTCAATATATATTGCTTTCTGCCTTAATTCCTCCCTCTCCCAATAACTAAATCAGAAATATCCAGCAAGAATATTTTGATAGAACTCCTCATACCTGAAGCAATACTTCACTGAATCATCTGCAGACCATACAAAGATTCCATGAAGCTTTCCCTCCCTCCTCAGACATTCACACGCAGTGAAGAAACCTTTCTCCGGCGGCAACCCTCCACTGCTACTGGCATCACTAGAAAAGCTCACTAACACCTTTCCTCCCTCATAGTTTGCAGATTGTATATCAAAATAGTTCAGAAATTGTGAAATTGTTGTGTTCGATGGATAAGCGTAGAACTGAAAATTGACGTAGTCGATAAATTCGCCATGTTTTTCCCACAGAGCAATGTAATGGCTCTGCACGTCGTAGTAATCGTAAGGCGCTATTGAAGCAAAAGATATGACTTTGTTGCATTTAAGAGTCTTCAATAGCCTTCCAATGCACTCTGCGAAGGTGTAGGAGTCAGCGCTGAAGTGCTCGTAGTCGATATCGATTCCATCCAAATTGTATTCTTTGATGATTTTGGTGAGGGAGGAGACGGCGTTGCTGACCCATGAGTCGATACAGATGGGATTGAAGTAGGCGAATTGGCCATTGACGGTATCTCCGCCGAGGCTAAGGGCGACTACGTTGCGATGGTTTTGTTTGATGAGGTTTACTTGAGAAGCGGAGAGGTTTTGGCTGTCCCAGAAGACGTTGAAAAGGCCGTTGGTTGAGGAATTTCCGTCGGGAGTGTAGTCTATGGCGAAGGAGAGGATGAAGTGGAAGTTTACGTGGGGGTTTATGGGGACGTCGGAGAATTTGACGCCGTTGAACTCTGCGCCGATGTATTCTCTGAAAAGGAGGGAGCTTTGCGGTGCCGGGGCGGAGGCCGCGGCAGCGGCGGCGGAGGGAGAGGAAAAGGAAGACGGCGGTTGGAGGTTGATGAAGAGGAATTGGAAGATCAGGAAGGGGAAAAGTAGGTTTTTGGAAGGCATATTAGTTGCTTTGATTCATGGCTTTCGACCAGGAAATTTGTAGGCTGAGAGTCAAGTTGAGATTTTTAAGAAGAAACAGGGGAAGAATTGGATGATCTTTGATTGCATCGTCAATGTGGGTTGTTGAAAATATAATTAATAATTAATGTGATGAGAATGGCGTATTGGGTGCCATGAAGTGTACTAACTGCAGTCTTTCTTGCACTTCGGGCGCGGCAGGCGGCAGGCGGAGGCTCTCAAGTCTCAAATGGTTGACTTCTTGACAGGGAAAACATGACAAAATGTTTAAAGAAAAAAAAAAGGTAGGATGTTTGATTTGATTTTTAATCAAAATAAATTTTGAATTTTTTAACCTTGTCGTTCGACTATGATCCTCCCACCCCAATTGCTCGATTACATTTCTCCGACCACCACGTCAACTATGATCCTTCAATCATCATCTCTAGATTATGATCCTCTTGCCACCGTCACTTGATTATGGTCCCCCATTATCATCCTCCTAAGATCTTTCAACCCTTGTCTTCATATCGTGTTCCTCCTACTATTCTTGTTTGATAACAGTCTCTTAACAATTATTATCCAAATACTGCCCTTTGATCATTGTCGGCCTACTCTAGTCAATCGACCATGATTGTCTGACTATAAACCTCTTACCAATATTGCGTTGCCACATCGACGATAGCTGACTCTGGCACCTACCACCATCAATAACGTGTGCCAATGGACGATATCATTATCAACTTTGATTATTAACGCTAGTACCAACATTTATACTATACTTTTTGGTTAATAATCTCCTCTCCTCAAAAGATAATGGCCAAATAAACAACAAGCGATCTCTTGATGACGGCTCTTTATGCCACATTGTTCTTCCAACTTATAAATTTTCTAAAATAAAAAAATAGACCAAGTGTGGTGTTAGATGGTTGTTTTTAAATATTTTTCAAAATAAATATTAAAAAAGAGATTTAGTTTTTAGTGGTCTAAGAATTTATTTTATTGAGGAGAAGAAAAATTCAAATATATATATTTTAAATTTCTTAACTTTATTTTTAATTTTGTTTGACAGACTATATTGATATTTTTTATATTTATAAGTAATTGAATAATAATATAATCTTTTTATTTTAATTTATAAGAATATATAATAAAAAAATAAAAAAATATTCTTATAAATAAAAAAATAAGAACTCTTATGCATATGTGTACAAAAGTGGGCTCATCAAATTCACACCTACACAACTTTATACACAGCTCTTATGCATTCTACCTACACATCCTCATACAAATCTCTAATATACTTGTAAAATTATATGCATTTTACGTATGTAATCACTTTATTCAAATAATCCAACCAAAGATGAATCTCTCTCTTAATTCAAAAAAACTATTATGTGCGGAGACGGACGACGTATGAAGACCAACCAGAATGCGCCACATCAGTTTTTTGCTCGGTATCAGTGCTTGGTACTAGGTGACATGCCACGTTCTGACTGGTCCCCGAACCGTTTAATTTCAGCATAGAATAATTTCTCCGTAATTCAAGACATAAAATTTTCAATAGATTGATTTAGGTTTCGTTAAATTTTTGTACTAAAACTCTGATTTAAAAAATAATAAAAATGTCTTCCCAAAAAGCCTTAACTCCCCCTTCATGCAACACCAAATAAGCAATACATCAGTAAGCTTTTTAGCATCTTAGCTCATTCAAATATATTTTTAACATAAATATTTTCATTGAAAATGGGAGCTAGCTTGAAACATATGGAGTTGCAAGCAGACACAAATCAACCTTCCTTCCTGTAGTTGATCCACTGACCTCCCTCATATCCAAATCCTCAGCCCTCCGTCCATCCGGAAGCTCCCAATCAAAGCAAAGCAACAGATTAGCCAACACAAGCTCCACACTCGCCATTCCAAAATTCATCCCTGGGCAAATCCTCCGGCCGCCTCCGAACGGCAAGAACTCAAAGTTAGCTCCTTTGAAATCCACCACCGCTTCATCAAACCTCTCCGGCCGAAACATCTCCGGCTGTTTCCAGTATCGAGAATCCCTGCCTAACGCCCACACATTGACGAGAACTCTCGTGCCGGCCGGTACTGTGTATCCTTGCACTTGGCAGGTCTGGCGGCACAATCTCGGCACCAGTAATGGAAGGGAAGGGTGGAGCCGTAGAGTCTCTTTGATAACTTGTTTTAAGTAGTCGAGCTGGTTGAGGTCTTCTTCTTCTATTTGTCTCTTTCGTGCTGTTGCGGCCACTTGTCGGATCTCCTTTTGTATTTTCTCCATTGCTTTGGGATTTCTTATCAGCTCAGACATGGCCCATTGCATTGTAGTTGATGATGTATCTGTGCCAGCAAAGAATAGGTCCTGTAGAAATTTGACCGAATGTTTATGGTATAGGAGGAAACAAATGGAAACAAATGGAAACAAATAAGATATAAATCGTAGAGAAAAGAACACCATAATTTACATAAAAAACTTGAAAGTGGAAAAAAATCATCGAGCCACATCATAATTTACATAAATATTTTGATATTTTTAGAGCAATTCGGGACATCTATGTCCAAGATCAGAGTGTTTCTGAATTTCAAATCGCACAAAAAATTCTCCAAAGGCTGTGACACTTATTTTCGGATTCCAAGAGCTTCGGCGTCCGAAAATTGATGGGCAAATTATAACCATCCTCAAAAACTTACTTGATCGGGCACGAATCTCGAGACAAAATCAAGATGGAAACTTTCAGAATAAAAATTGGGACCATCCGAACTCCGATTTCAGCAAACTTATAATCAAATTGAACGTCTCGAAAATACGAACCCAACGACAGCAAATTCAACCCAATCAGAGCCCAAATGGGTCCAAATCAAGGATCTGAAGCGTTATTGGAAGGTTCAAACTACAATTTGAATTACCAAACGGTTTCCAACCATGAGTGCCTATAATCGAATCGAGCGGCCCGACGAGACGAATCCAACGACCCAAGATTACTAAATTACGATATCACTAAGACATTAAAATGTCCATCAAACAGTCCATGATCAAAATATTCAATATAGGTCATCCATCCAAATCACTCCACATTTACCATTGATATACCTCTTATTTATATGTCATGCCACTCCGAGAAATCTATAAATAGAGCCTCATTTCCTTTGAAAAGGGACCATTAAGCCAAAGGATTCAAGAGAGAGATCGGAGATCACTCTTGCTTCCTTGCCTCTTCGACCACCACCCAGAGTTTCATCGGATCACCACCTGACATCCTGAGCTCCGCCGGACTACCGCCTGACGTCCTGAGCTCCGTCGGACCACCACATGACGTCCTAAGCTCTATCTAACCACCACCTGACGCCCGGAGCTCCGCCAGACCACCAGTTGACGTCCTGAGCTCCACCGAACCACCGCTTGACACCCAGAGTTCTTTCGAGCCATCGACGGACACCCGAGGTCTACTAACTGACACCCGAACTTCCTAGCGAAGCTGAAATTCTACCAGATTACCGGCTGACCCTGAAGTTCCACCAGACCACCAAGTGACGTCGGACTTTCATTTACCCCTTATTTCAACCATACAGTAAATATTTGTAATCTGATCGCCCTAGAGGGGCGAGTCAGCCCATTGTAATCTACTCAAATTCTAGTTTAATCATTTTAAACTTGGTCAGACCCTGTGGTTTTTCCCTTTCCAGAATTTTCCACATAAAAAATCTTGTGTTCTCTGTGAGCTAGATATCCGTGCAACGCTAAAACGTAAGATCATAACTCTATCACTGCATATATTCTAGTCCGTAACAAGAAAGCTGCAAATAAGTTGCCCCAGACGAAACCTTAATGTTAAAAAAAAAAAAATTGATTCACAGTTTGAGTTTGATGACAAAATTAAAACCTTAGTCAATAGTAAATTTAAATTATTGACACATTTATTTTTTATATTATAGAAAATAGTTAAACATAATAGTAGAATCCTTGATTTAGACATAGGGGTGCAAACGAGCCGAGTCGAGCTCGAGTCAAGAGGTGTTCGAGTCGAGCTCAACTGTCAAACATCAAGCTCGAGCTCGAGCTCGAACTCGAGTCGAGCTCAAAAATTGAGCTCGAACTCGAGTCAAGCTCAAAAATTGAGCTCGAGCTCAAAAATTGAGCTCTCGAGCTCGACTCGTTCCACCATAAACGAGTTTTCCAGCTGCTCGTCGAGCCTCCGACGTGCTCGGGCTCACACACCGGTGCACTCAAAGTACTCATGGGAGGAAGAGAGAGCAAGAGATTTATTCTCTTTCTTCAAAAAAATTGATTTGATTGGCTGTCTTTTACAGCTACAGCGGGAGGAAGAGAGAGAGAGCAGCTGTCATTTAATACTTGCTATTTATTTCTCTGTTTCTGCCAAAGAAGAGAGAGATCAGTTTTTTTTTATTTTTTTTGGTTTTTCCATTATTACTCTGTCGCTATCAAGAACAATTATTACGTCCTCTGACCGGACGTGGAGCTACGTTCGGCCGCCAATAACATGTCGCCACGTGCTCTTACTCTAAATTGTGCGCCCCGACGACTTGACCCGGAGCGGAACTCGGGAATGCTATGTTCGCGATTTTCTCGGTATTGTTCGGTATTTGCTCGGTATTTGCTAGGTATTGCTTTGCAAAAATGAGAAATACTGCTCTGTGAAGATCAATATCATGCAAATACCGAGTTGTACCGAGTTTTTTACAACTCGGTACAACTTAGTACAACTCAGTATTTGCTCAGGATTTGCTCGGTATTGCTAGAAAAAACTCGGTACAACTCAGTATTTGCTCGGTATTGCTAGAAAAAACTAGGTACAACTTGGTATTTGCTCGGTATTGCTAGGTATTTGAAATATATCCAAAAGGTGATGGGATTTTGTTCGGCTCGTCAAGGATTTAAAAAAAAACACACGTGCGAGAACCCAAAAAACAACGGATCGGGTCGGCGACTTTTCTTCATGCTACGTGGCGCTAAAATATTGGTGGCCGAACGTAGAGGAGCGTACGTTCACCGGACCGAATAAAAGTTCCGCTATCAGAGGATAGAGAGAGGCTTGCGATTAACATTTAAGCCAGTATAGGCGGGAGTTTAAAGATCAGGCAGTAATTTAAAATGAAGTTCTTATTAATTTTTTAAAACATTTAAATTTAATAATTTTGAGAGCCTTATTAAGCTCGAGCTCGTGGCTCAATAAGCTCGGCTCGCGAGCTTATTAACGAGTCGAGTTCGAGACCGCTCGGCTCTCGGCTCGGCTCACTTACACCCCTATTTAGACATGACAGGGCGAAAATAAAAATTAGAAAACAAAATTTAATATTAATTTTATATTAAAAAAAGCAAAGGCAAGGCACTTACAGCGGCGATCGCCTTAACGTTTTGAGTGCTAATCGATTGGTCCACGTGCCCTTCGTCCCTAGCCCGAAGCAGAACATCCAGCAAATCCTCGTCGCCGCTTTCAGGGCCTGCCATCTTCTTCAACCTCAGCCGATCTTCGTGCTCGCCGATGAGCTCCTCCAGGATCTCATCCATTCTCCTAAAATGCCTTTCGATTTGTCCCTTCACGCCGAGCATGGTGTCAATAAACCCTAGACACGGGAAAAATTCAGCCACGTTTAGTCCCGACGTCAGCGAGATCATTTCCCGCATCATGCTTAGCAACTCCTCCTTCCTCCCTTGTCGACACCTTCTGCTGAACGCCGCCTTCATTATAATATCATTCGTGGTCTCCTCAAGCTTTTGCTTGAGATTGACAGCTTCTTTTCTTCCGGCGGCGGCGGCGATGCTTTCGACTAAGGCTGAAACAGCCTCTTTTCTGATGGCTGCGAAGCTGGCGACGCGCTTGGCTGTGAGCAGCTCCGTCACGCAGATCTTGCGGAGAAGGCGCCAGTTGGGGCCGTAAGGTGCCATGGCGATGTCGTTGTAGCCATAGGTCATAGCTCCGCTGCGGATGAGCTGTGGGCGAGATGCGAAGCAGAGGTCTTGGGTTCGGAGGATTTCTTCGGCGGCTTCTCGGGAGGAGACGACGGTGAGGTTTAGTTGGCCGAGGCGGAGGAGAATGATGGGGCCGTGAAGGGAGGAGAGGTTTCTGAGAGAAACATGGGCGAGGGGGTCGCCGGAGAGCAGATGATGCAGTTGGCCGATGATCGGAAGCGGGCGTGGGCCAGGCGGCAGAGGAGCTACGAAGATGTCAGGTGATGATGATTTGCAGCTGGAATTTGTGGATTTGGTGATCCGAGTTAGGGCGACGACGATGATTAGGAGGGGAAAGAGGAGGATTGGGAGTAATTGGTCCATTGGTTTTGGCAAATTCATGGCTTATGTGTATTCGTTTTATAGGCTTTTTGCCAGCGACCTGAACACGAAAGAAGATTAATAATATTATTATTAATTAATATAATAATTATTTAATTATTCACTTTTTTAACGGAGCTTAGAACGTGGTGATTTTTAAAAATTGGAGACTTGCATGTGTTGACTTTGTATTAAATTTATATTACAATAAATTTAATATTTTTAAAACATTTTTAAAATGTATATCAGTTTTGTGAAAAAATATATATATATATATAATCAATTTGAATGCACAAATTTTATAAAATATTATTCAAATAGACACCATGGAGTAGAATAGGGGTGCGAATGAGTCAAGTCGAACTCGAGCCAGGAGGTGTTTGAGTTGAGCTCGACTATCAAATGTCGAGCCCGAGCTTGAGCTCGAACACGAGTCGAGCTCAAAAATCCGAGCTTGAGCTCGACTCTTCTTTCATGTCGAGCGGCTCGTTGAGTTCGTAGTCACGTCAACTGTCAAGCTCGTAGTCACGTCCGCTGTCGAGCTCCGTCGTCGTTGTCTCGAGCTCATAGTCACGTCCGTCATCGTCGTCCTGAGCTCGTCTTATGTCGAGTGCTCTTCCATCATAGTTGTGTCCGTCATCGTCGTCATAAGCTCGTAATCGTCATGTTCAAGCTCGACTCGCGAGCTCAATAAGATCGACTCGTTGAGCCTATTATCGGATCTAATCTGAGCCAACTCGCGAGTTAGCTTGACTCATTTGCAACCCTAGCGTAGAATAGAAATTAGATAGCATGGTGCTAAGATATTTCCACACAATTTTGATTTCTTTATTTTGAGATGAGTATAAAATTTTCAAATGTTATAAAAATTTTTAAAACAATTCCAACAGATTTTAAACATTTTTTTTTCTCTATTCAATATATTTCAATATCAAAATATATTTTCTTATAAATAGAATTCTCAGCTTCATGAGCTTAAACATAGAGCATGTGAGATCTACTCAGGTGAAAGGACGATGGAAATTCCAAACAAAGAAAGGTTTCATTTGGGGTGGCAAAGGGCTGGACGGGAAAGCTACACCAGGATTTAGGAGAGGCCAGGAATGTGATATGAATGCTTTTTTTTTTTTCTTCTATATAAATTATGCTAACTGATCACTGTATGGACGTATGGATCATAGCATTTTAGGGGGGGCACGTGCCCCCCCTTGCCCCCCTCCCTACGCCCATGGAAATAACATGCAACATGTGAAATCAAAAACACATTTAATAAAATAAATTCCTACTTGATGTAAGCTATATTGAGAGTTTCGAATTCAAATTTATTGGTGGGTGATACCTGATTTTAATGATAGTAGGTCCTTGGCGCGCTTGATAGGGATGAGACGTCTGTCCTTTGGTGAAAGCGGTTGTGAGCCAAGGAAAACCTTAGTAAATGAAGTCATGGTTGTGGACATTAGAGATATGTGCTTACTATAGCTAGCTTAATTAAGGATATATGCAATAGGCAGGTGGTCTTGAATTCTTGATTGTGGAAAAATGTTGTAGGAGAGCATACACTATTGGGGTGATTGCCTCTCAGGGTAAACATCCATCAAAGCGAGTTCTTTGGAGGAAAACACATCAAGGATGATTACTACCTTGAGCTCATGTAGCTTACATCGGCATATATGTGTCAATATGTTTCCAAATTACTATCTAGTGATGTGATGCATTTTTATTAGTCTGTGGAGACATTCCGAGTCCAAACACAATAATCTCTCTCATACTGAAGGGCTTGTTATTGAAAAGGAAAAGTTAATCTAAGACAATAAGCATTTGCTATCTTTACCAAACAACTAAAGGGAGAGTAACTAATAATTAATGCCAAGCGGGGCAACCTCTTGGCCTTAAGGTTCTCATTATGTATAGATTTGAACTAGTGGTGTCAATTTCGGGTCGCGGGTCGGGTTTGGGTTAAACTCGAAATTAACCCATTACTATTTGGGTCAATCCGAACCTGACCTGTTTTTGCATACATGTTGGTTTTGCGGACCCAAACCCGACCCGCTTTGGGTTTGACAGCCCGCTTTAGGTTTGACAGCGGCACGCGTCGCGCGTTTCGGGTTCAACAGCGACCGATAACAACTCAGGCAACCGGCGTTTGGCAACAGCAGCAGGCAACGGGCAGCGGCGACGAGCTATGCGAGCGGATGTGGACTCGACGGTCTGTGGGACCACCACAACGGCTGGGGCTGCTAGGCAGACGCGACTGGACACTATCACACTGGGCAGCTGGATCGCAGTCAGCGGTTGGATCGCGTGCAGCCGGGCACTGCCGCACTGGGCAGACACGACTCGGTCAGGTGAAGTGACGGTGACGCCGCGTCATGCGTGGCACTGCGGCAACGGGTCGATGCTTGCGGGCAGAACGACACTAGCAGAGCGGGCAGACCAGGTTTCTGCGTTCCCGGGTCAACCCGAACCCGATATGTTTTTGAAACGGGTCAAAAACCGCAATCTGAACCCGACCCGATTCTGGTTCGGGTCAACCCAAACCCAAAATTTTTGGGTCGGCTTCGAGTCGGATTTTCGGGTCAGATCAAATATTAACACCCCTAATTTGAACCTTGCAATATTTCTCCTCCTAAATAATAGTGAGAGATGACATTATTGTTGCATTCTTTTGTTCTGCCTCAAGTGTTTGTTACTAACTAAGAATTTTTCATCGAGAAACATTTCGTGTATTATTGCTCAATATTTTTTGCACAAACCATATCATATTATACTATAACTTGTTTGTTTAAGGTATTTATCTTAATTTGAGCTGTATAAATTTATCCTAAATTTTCTTCAAAACATACTATTATTAAATAAATGTTATGCAATATTATTATGATTCACTGATTATGGTTTATACATGTTAATTGAGTTGAATTCTATAAATTATTTGGTTGTATATATCTAATTTATTAAAATTTTATGATATGTTAAATAATGTTAAAGATGAGAAAAAAAAAAAGTGAAGATGGCTAGTTGGGTGCACCCACTACTACAAAAAATAGTTTTTTCGCAGTGAATGTTAGAAGCGGTTTTAGAACCGTTGTCAAAATACTAATTTAGTAGGGGTTTTAACCGATGCTATTTGCATATGTTTCAACCGCCGGAAAAAAACCTCTCTTAAACAGGTGGAATCCCTAATTCGATCCCAATTGCATGAGACTCGACTCTCTCCGTCTTCCAATCCCTAGCTCAATCTCTTGTGTGTGACGGAGCTAAGCGAGCGTCGCATCTGGTGTCGCCGTCGCAACTGCTGTTAGAAGAGCACAACCCATCGTAGCTGCTGTCATGGTCTCTTAACCAGCCTGTCCGCTCACACATCCCGCTCGCTGTTCTCATCACGCGAAGAAACATCCCGGCTGATTGTGGGCCTCTTCCCCTTCTTACTCTTCTTCTTCTTCTTCTTGTTTAGTTGTAGTAATCCCTAAAGTCAATTTTATTCTTGTTAATGTGAATGGTAATCCCTAAAATGACAATGTTAGTACCATCATTATATTTAATTATATTTTTTTTAATAAATCAACATGGAGTTAGAATCATATGTAACAGGAGAGGGCTGACATAAATGCTGCAAATGCAAAGAAATAGACTTGTCCTCACACTATGGGGCGTGTGAGTTCTGTTCACAGGCAACAAGACATGGTATATATTTAATTTATATAAATTTTATATTTACATATATTAAATAATTAATTAACGATCAAATTTATCCCTATAGGCTATCAATGATATATTACTATTATGGAGAGTCAACAGACTGTACAAAGATTGCACCTGATCATATGAAGATGCTAAATAGAGATGAGTAATTTTAGTCTAGCTATAAATTTTTTATATGTAATTTATTTTTATTCTTTTGTTTATTTTAAACAAAAAGTTAACTAAATTTATTATAACCATAGATACAAGCTTGCGAGCTTTTGACTATGGATGGGAAGACACTAGAGGATGGGAATGTGGAGGCTAACGAAAGGGTGTTCAGTATAATTATGTGACCTGAATACATAGGCAGAGTCAGAACCCAAGGGTATGGTTATGGGACCTAAACACATAAGCAGAGTCAGAACCCAAGGGTTTGGTGTCACTCCTATACAATATTTTCCTTATAGTACAAACGAGGGCGGGAGTTGCGATGGAAACAATTTAAGTCAAGTAGTAAATCTCAGAGAAGAGTTCAACTTATTACATACTAAAATGAGAGAATTCATGCAACAAATTCGAATGCAGCATCAACCTTAAGGAAGCTCACAACTTGTATGTAAAATTTCACATTTTAATTTTAATGTTGGTTATTTGAATACTAATATTTTACAATCTTCTAACAATTGATAGGGTGCCAATGAAATTTCTTTTGAAAGATGATTTTACAGGACAAAAAGAATGGTGTTTTGAAGATAACCAATGATTGGTATGGAAGCCTATTTTTTTTTTTTAGATGTTGCTTAAATTTTTGATAATGCATATTATCAAAACATATCAATGATGAATCCTCTTCTCTTTCTGACATATCAATGAATTGTTCATATCCACTTCAAGTACTATTTGTCACCATATAGCTATGATCAGTGGTTATATTGTTGAGAAAGTATAGTATTAGTTTGTTTCATTTTCCTCTGGCTGGAGATGCAATGGCTATAATATGCAACAAATGACTGAGACTTATTTCTAGCAATGGATGGATCTTCCATGGCTAACTTTCTAATTAATAATCAAGCAATGGGTGAGACGTTAAGGATGGTTTTAAAGGCACATAAACAATGCGGTTTTAAAGACACAATATTCTTATTTCAAATGATGTGGTTACATTTTGATTCTTTAAATAAGCCAAAATAAAATTATCATTTCAATCATGTTCATTAACATGATTTTTTTGATGCGGTGTGAGATTAGAAAAATAAAATTATCATTTCTATGATGATAATTATCATGATTTATATGAATTCGTGTGAGAAGCATTTTTTGTGATTACAATGATTGCAATTTTGTTTAAAACCCATGGTCCGGTGATCTATCATTTCCTACTTAAAGGATTTTTATAAAATTTTCAAGAGCTTGGTGGTGCTTGAGGAGGATTTTGATAGGAGAAGATTTCATCGTAATGCTATAAGCTATAGGGTCGCAATTGTTAAAGTGTTGATTGACAATAATATAGCTGATTGTTGGATTTATAATAAAAATTTTCCAATTTATTTTATCTTGACTTATTATTGTTGTTACGTCTATTATTTTTTTTTTAACGACCCTACTCATGATTATAAAGGCAAAATGCTAGTGATTGTGTTGATGATCAAAGCAAAATAAAGGACCCTTGCAAAGAAATTTTGTGCTGCACTGTGGACATTCAGGTTTCTGAATTTTTTTTTTAAATGGTCTATTGTGGCCACCACAAAGCACAAGATTTGTGCCGTTAAAACTAGGGGCGTCAAATTGGGTCGATGGGTCAGGTTTGGGTCAAACCCAAGTTGACCCGGATCTACATAGGCCAACCCGAGCCTGAACCTGACCATTTTTGAAAAAGGGTTGGACATTTCAATCTGTAACCAGTACGCACGGGTTGCCGGGTTAACCCGACCAGACTCGGATTTAGTAGATTTGGCTAAAGAAGCGCGAGCTGAGGGCCTGAGCCAATCTGCGAGTGTAGGTAGTGTCATAGCGACAATGACCCGAAAGTCGGAGTCCGCGGGACTGCGAGTGCGGGTGGACTCCTCGGGACCGCGATTTAGGGTGGAGTCTGAGCGCACGTACGACAGCGGCAGAGTTTGCGGAATTGCAAGAGTGCAAGCGGAAATCCAGAATGGACTCCGACTTTCTGGTCATTGTTGTGTTTATTTCGGGTTTCCGGATCAACCCGAACACATATTTTTTAAACGGGACAATAATCCGAACCCGAACTCGACCCATTAGTAATTACAGTGTATGTGCATAATAATTATAGCGTGTGTGTGTAATGATTTTAAAACTACTGCAAAGAAAATTGTGGCAGTTATAACAGTAGGGATAGATCAAAATTTGTGTTGTGATTATCTTATTTTTTTGTAGTGACCATATGTGCATTTAGGTGAAGAAATTAGAGCTTTTTCATCTATATAATTATTCATCCCTAAATATGATATAATTGAATATATGTTAATAAGTTGAGTTATAAGGGGTGAAGAAAAAACATGAATAAGTGGATATATATATATATATATATATATGTTTGCTTGTGAGATGACAATGATGGTGCGATAATGAGGATTGTGAAGACATTGCTGCCATGGAATTATGGTGGACTTGGATTGCAGCATAATGATGATATGAGTTTGTTTAATTTCCCCTATAATTGTGGTCATGAAGAATAACTTGCTTGATCATTCGGTCTTGGATTCAAAAACTAGTAGTCTCAAAAGTTATGAAACCATTATTATTGCTAGCAAATTTTTTAGATAGATAAGAGGTTGTGGGATAATCTTGGAACCTGAATTAAGTTAGCTAGAGAGGAGGAGCTTATATGCCAACCAGGTTGGGACATATGTCGCAACCTACATGGGATATAGGGATGGAACTACCATTCCACAAAGTGAACTCAGTGCCAATGTATGGTATTATTTGGTGTAGTTGATCAAGAGTGGAAATTAAGTGAGATAACACCTCAAAGTTTAAGAACCATGCATTCTAGTGAGAGCTAAGCCAAAGAAAGCAATGCTTGTTGATTTGATTATTTGAAGGGAGGTCTGCAAGTGAGTTTGAGTAGTGCTAGTAATCAGCAATGGAGTGGCCGGTCTCCTTTCCAAGGTATTTGAAAAATTATTTTTAGAATTATAAAATTTTTATGAATAAATTGTCATTATTATTATGTTAATTTTATTACTTTTAATTATATTATTATTTATTACGTCATCAGGTTCGACCCCGGTTCAACCGGTCGAACCATGAACCTCTAATTCTTCCGGTTCGTTGTCCGGTTCGGTTTTCACAACCTTGATATATATAGTTTAGGGTGAAGAAAAAAATATAAAATAATATAAAAATAAAAATAAAATTATTTCGTTTTATTAAATTATTTTATTCCTCATACCTTATTAAAGTAAATATTTATATTATTACTTATAACATATATCTACCAGGGCCTAATTCAAGAAAATTATTGTATTTTAAAAAGTAATAAAAATGTTATCTCAAAAAGAAGCCTAATTTTCTTAGCTCATTCAAAAGCCTTTTTAACCTGACAATTTTCACCAAAAATCTGAGCTAGATAGTATATGTAGTTGCAAGCAAACACAAGTCAACCTTCCTCGCTGAAGTTGATCCAATCGTCTCACTCATATCCAGATTGCTTGCCTTCATTCCGTCCGGCAAGTCCCAATCAAAGCAAAGCAACAGATTAGCCAGCGTGAGCTCCACATTCGCCAGGCCAAAATTCATCCCTGGGCAAATCCTTCGCCCAGCTCCAAATGGCAAGAACTCAAAATTAGCCCCTCTGAAATCCACCATTTTTTCATCGAATCTCTCCGGCAAGAACTCCTCAGGATCATCCCAGTATCGAGAATCTCTGCCTAACGCCCACACATTGACAAGAACTCTCGTGCCTGCCGGCACAGTAAATCCTTGCACTTGACAAGTCTCACGGCAGAGTCTCGGCAGCAGTAGAGGAAGGGAAGGATGAAGCCTTAGAGTCTCTTTTATAACTTGTTTTAAGTAGTTCAGCTTGTTGAGGTCTTCTTCTTCTAATTTTCTTTTACCTCCCATTGTAGCCACTTGTCGGATCTCTCTTTGCACCTTCTCCATTGCTTTGGGATTTCTCATCAGTTCAGACATGGCCCATTGCATTGTAGAAGATGTTGTGTCTATGCCTGCAAAGAATAGCTCCTGTAGAGATTTGATTAGTACACAAAATTCTATGGGATGCAACGGATAGCATTTGGGTCTCAACCAAAAATGATATGGCCCAAATCAGATCCACTTGAATCAAATCCTTATATTAAATTGAAAAAAAATAAAATTTCAATTTGACTCTGACTTGACTAAACTAAATTGTGAACTAATATAAAGAACACCTCAGTCATGATCGCCTCATTGTTATTATTCAATTTAGATTTTATTTGGAATAACTTTTTTAATGTTTCTTAAAGCAAATTTTAAGAACAAAAAATAAAATTTTGTATTAAAAAGCTTTTTTAAGAAGCAACAATAACAACAACAACAAAAACATCAAGCCTTCATCCTGCTACGTGGGGTCGGCTATATGAATCTTTTTTTCTCCATTGTGTCATATTAAAAGTCAAATTCTCGTTTAAATTTAATAAAAAAAAAGATCATTCCAAATAATTTTCTAACCAATTCTTTTTATGTCTGCATCTACCTTTCTTAACATTAATCAAATCTAATATATTTACTTTCCTAACTGGGTCATCGGAATGCCGTCATTTTATGTGACCAAACCATCTAAGACGACTCTCTCTAATCTTATCTTCTACTGAAGCTACTCCAACCTTTTCACTTATATGCTCATTTCGTATCCTATCTCTAAGGGTAAAGCCACTCATCCACCTGAGCATCCTCATGTCTGCCACACTTAACTTAGTATTATGCTTCTCTTTTAATGACCAACATTTGGCATCATAAAGCATTGTAGACCTCGCCACCATCTTATAAAATTTTCCCTAAAGTTGAGGGGTAATTTTCTATGACACAACAAGCATGATGCATTCCTCCACTTCAACCATCCAACTTGAATTTTGCTGATAATATCCCCATCTATCTCACCATCACTCTGAACAATAGATCTAATATATCTAAAACATGTACTCTTATTAATGACTTGATCGCCCAAAGTCACAATCCCCTCACTAGCTCTATTACTACTAAAATTACACTCCATATATTCTGTTTTAGATCTACTCAAGCGAAAACCTTTAGACTCTAAGGTTGACCTCCATAATTCAAGTTTACCTTCAACTCCCTCTCTAGTCTTATCAATAAGAAAAATATCATCAGCAAAAAGCATACACCAAGGTACATCCTCTTGCAAATGCCTAGTGAGAACATCCATGACTAAAACAAAAAAGATATGAGCTTAAGGCTGATCCTTGATGTAACCCAACCGAAATAGAGAAATACTTGGTCAAACCACCATGTGTTTGAACACAAGTAATAGCTGCTGCATACATATCTTTAATGATTTGAATATAAGCATTATTAACTCCTTTATTTTCAAGAACTCTCTATAGCTCTTCTCTTGAAACTTTATCATATGCTTTTTCTAAATCAATAAATGTCATATGTAGATCCTCATTATTTTCTCTATATTTCTCCGTCAATCCTCTAATAAATGCATGGCTTCAATAGTCAACCTACCCGGCATGAATCCAAATTGATTTTGAGAAACATTAGTCTCTAAAATGAGAGTGAAAGCATTAAAATTATTATTTCTAAGGAGACTCATAGGAGACCTAATTTTTGTTCGAATCACATAAGCAGACACAAATTTGACTAAAATAATACGCAAATAAATAAGAACATAAAATTCTTTTGCTTAATTGAAATCAAACATATGAGATTGCTAGCGGTGTGTAGTATTAAATATATTAAATTTATTTATACATAGCATTGCAAGATGGTGAATCTTACTCTATTTACATATATATCACAAAATTCTAATATATTTGTATATAATTATATATGGTATATAAATTTTTATATTTGCACACATAACATAGTAATCTCTAAATCATATTAAAAATATCATTAATATTAATATATCTATAATAAAATGCATTTTTTTCATTTATTAGTTTAAATCTTATTTAGACAGTAACGTTTACATAAATAAATAAATTATAAAAAAAATGTATAACAAAATTTTGATGTACATATTCATATATAATTTATCTTTTTATTTTCTCACAATTCATTTCAATATCTAAATCGTATCAAAATGTATGTATAAATAAGTTATAAAAATTATATAAATTAATAAAAATATATAAATATATTTTCCTTCACTATAAAATTTAAGGCAAAGACGCTTACGAGGGCGACCGCCTTGACGTGCTCAACGCTAATCGATTGGTCAAACTGCTCTTCGTATCGAACCCTAAGCAGAACATCCAACAAGTCGAAGTTCCCATCGTCAATCCCTTCGCTCTTCATCAATCTCAGCCGTGCTTCGTGCTCGCCGATGATCTCGTCCAGGATCGCATCCAGTCGCCTAAGATGCCCCTCAATTCTGTCCTTCACTCCAAGCACGGTATCCAAAAACCCTAGCCACGGAAAAAGATCGCCCAAATCTAATCCCGACGATAGCGAAAGCATATCCCTCAGCAACCTAAGAAACTCCTCCTTCCTCCCCTGTCGACACTCCCTACTGAAGGCCGCCTTCGTTACAATATCGTTCGTAGTCTCCTCAAGCTTTTGCTTGAGATTAACCGCTACATTTCTTCCAGCAACGGCGCCGATGCTTTCAACTAAGGCTGAAACCGCCTCGTTCCTGATAGATGCGAAGCTAGCGACCCGCTTTACTGTGAGCAGCTCTGTTATGCAAATCTTGCGTAGAAGGCGCCAACTGGGGCCATAAGGTGCCATAGCGATGTCACGGAAGCCGTAGGTCATGGCCCGGGATCGATTGATCTCTGGACGAGATGCGAAGCAGAGGTCGTGGGTTCGGAGGATTTCTTCGGCGGCTTCTCGGGAGGAGATGACGGTGTAATTTACTTGGCCGAGGCGGAGGAGCATGATGGGGCCGTGAAGGGAGGAGAGGTTTCGGAGAGAAATGTGGGGAATGGGGTCGCCGGAGAGAACATGATGTAAGTGGCCGATGATCGGAAGCTGGCTGGGCCCTGGCGGGAGAGGAGCTGGGAAGATGTAAGTTGATGATGATCTGGAGCTGGAATTGCTGGATTTGATGATCAGAGTTAGGGTAACGACGAGGACTAGCAAGGAAAAGAGGAGGATTAGGAGTAATTGCTCCATTGATATCGATCAGTTGCAGATGCGTTTGGTGGATTTAATTTATTTGTTTTATAGACTTTTGCAGAAGGGATGGATGCCCCTGCGGCGGGATGAAAACGAAAGCATAATAATTTAATTAATCATATTTTTAATGGGAGCTTAGCACATTAGTAAGGAAAGTTAGTATAATACAAATTATGCAAATTAATTTAATCGGAGCGTAGGAGTAACGGATCAATTGGTTTTGGCTAATTGTGTGTGTGTGTGTATATATATATATATCATGATTAGAATAGAAATTATACTAAAAATTATGTGATATGTTTGTGGCTGGCTAGAGTATTCGCGGTGGTAAAGTATTAAATTTGACGTCTTAGCGTTATACAAGTATCTAACACATAAATAGAGAGAGTAGAAATATCATAATTTTTTACGTGAAAAATCTTGAAGGGAAAATCTACAGGGTCATGCCTACTTGAAATGAATCAAGTAGTACAAATGATTGATTCATCATTGAACTTGAGGACAATCAGACTACAATAGTCAACCGTTGGCTTGAAATCTAGCGAAGAATAAGGAACAAATAGAAGTTCGATGACGATCGGTCATCGGGCGTAAACCTGGTGTCTATTGGTGGCTGGGTGAAAATCATGCGACAACTGGTGGTCGAGTGGAAGTCCGGCGACACCGTGACAGTCGATGGCCGTGCTGAAGTTCGATGACGATCAGTGATCTGGCGGTAGTAGAGGAGTCTGGTGGCAAAAGAACTCTGATTTCTCTTCATTTCCTCTTCCTTGCTAATGAAGAATGAGGGGTTTATATAATTTTTTTTAGTGACATGACCAGTAAATAGAGAGAAGACAAGTAACATGTTTGGAGTGTTCTGAATGGACGGTTGATATTGACTTCATTGATCGTGGACTCTTTATCGAGTATTTGAGTGCTTAATGATATCAGAATTTGGCAATTTTGGACTCTTTGGATTCATCCCATCCAGCCACTCGGTTTAACAATAAGCATGTCACATTTAGAAAACGTTTGATCCTCGAATTTATGGTTTAAACCTTCCAAATGCGTTACGAGTCTTCGAATTTGACCCATTTGGGCTCGAATTGGGTTGAATTTGGTGTCGTTGGGTTCGTCTTTTCGTGACGTTCGGTTCGACTATAAGTTTCTTGAAATCAAAGTTCAATTGATCCCATATTTAATTTTGGATGTTTCCACCTCAAGATTCATTCTCGATCATAAAAATTATTTGACAATGTGTCAATATTCATTAATGTTTGTGTTGAAACTACTAATACTTTTATGCTCATATATCAAAAAAATATACTTAAGAAGAGAAAAAAAAAAGTGAAGTTGGCTACTTGGGTGCATGGGCGGATCATTGTTGAGATAAGGGTTCACAAATGCCCATCCTAAAAAAATAATAATGTATGAGGGAGGGTATTTTTGATATCCCCCCTCCTCCCCCCCTAATTTTTTTTTTTTTTTGTCATAATTTTATCAATCTCAAGTGTCCTTGCCCATCTTGCTCATTTGCAATTCACATCCAACCCACTTTTGCGATTCACAAATCTCCTCTTCCTTGTCGCTTTCGACTTGCAAGACGTTGCCACCTTCGTCTTAAAAGCCTTCAGTCTTCGTAAAACTCTTCTTCCCAATCGCATTCGACGTTCAAGAGGTCGCTCTCAGTTTGAACTTCGCAGCTTCTTGCAAGTCTCAACTAAGCAGTTTTAAAAACTTTTATTTAAAACATAAACTACTAAATATTAAATAAAGTACACTTACAAAACACCTAAACTAAAACATTATAATTTAGTTTTCTTAAAATACTTCTCCATAATCTTTGTGCAAAAACAAAACACCTAAAACATATATAACTCAAATACTATAAGTTGATCTAAATTAAAATTTAAACTAAAACATTATAATTTATAAAACATATTAATATACTATAATGATTTTTTTTAACCTAAACAGAACTACATTTAAACTAAAGCATTAAAAAAACATTTGGCATGCAAACAAATTTTCATTTTTTGACCTAAACAGCAAACTAATTAACTAAAGCTTAAAAATTAATAACAAAATCTTATAAACTGAACAACATCTAACGAAGTTGCAATCCACAAAAATGAAATACAAATGAAATCAATATGAGTATTATAGTATATGACTTACATAGAAACCAAATATCATCAGATGAAATAATACACAACAAAATTAAACGAAATCTAAAGAAATTTTGAGAGGTACTAACCTTCAACCCTTCAGCTATTTGATCAGAAAAACTGAAGATGGGATTGCCCGAGAGAATATGCGACTGAATGCACAGCAGCACAGCCGCACGGCCTGCAGAGGTACGGGTTGCCGGACTGAATGCCGACTGCCGAACTGAATGCCGACTGTCAGTCTCTCAGCCTGCAGAGTCGGCGACTGGACGAACATTTTGGAAAAAACAGTAAGCTGCTGCGTCGCGCACTCGCGATGGAGGCAGATGCGAACTGAACGCCGCTTCCTTCTCCCGTTCTCCGCGCGGAACCGAACAGGTTTTGTGCGAATAGCCGAAAAATTAGGGCAAAAAAATGCTGAACCGCCCAAATAGTCCAACCGAAATGAACGCATACAGGTTTTTTTTTTGGCGGAGGGGGCACGTGCCCCCACGGGACCCATGTAAATCCGCCGTTGCGCGGTGGTAAAGTATTAAATTTGACGTCTTAGCGTTATACAAGTATCCAACACATAAATAGAGAGAGTAGAAATATCATAATTTTTTACGTGAAAAATCTTGAAGGGAAATTCTACAGGGTCATGCCTACTTGAAATGAATCAAGTAGTATAAATGATTGATTTAAAATTGAACTTGAGAACAATCAGACTACAATAGTCAACGTCGGCTTGAAATCTAGCGAAGAATAGGGAACAAATAGAAGTTCGATGACGATCGGTCGTTGGGCGTAAACCTGGTGTCTATTGGTAGTCGGGTGAAAATCCTGCGACAGCTGGTGGTTGAGTGGAAGTCCGATGACACCGTGACAGTTGATGGTCGTGCAGAAGTTCGATGACGGTCAATGGTCTGGCGGTAGTAGAGGAGTCTGGTGGCAAAAGAACTCTGATTTCTCTTCATTTCCTCTCTTCCTTGCTAATGAAGAATGAGGGGTTTATATAATTCTTTTTAGTGACATGACCAGTAAATAGAGAGAATATCAGGGAACATGTTTGGAGTGTTCTGAATGGACGGTTGATATTGACTTCATTGATCGTGGACTCTTTATCGAGTATTTGAGTGCTTAATGATATCAGAATTTGGCGATTTTGGACTCTTTGGATTCATCTCATCGAGCCACTCGGTTTAACAATAATCATGTCACATTTAGAAAACCTTTGGTCATCAAATTTAGGGTTTAAACCTTCCAAATGCGTTACGAGTCTTCGAATTTGACCCATTTGAGCTCGAATTAAGTTGAATTTGGTGTCGCTGGGTTCGTCTTTTCGTGACGTTCAGTTCGACTATAAGTTTCCTGAAATCAAAGTTCAATTGATCCCATATTTAATTTTGGATGTTTCCACCTCAAGATTCATTCTCGATCATAAAAATTATTTGACAATGTGTCAATGTTCATTAATGTTTATATGTGTTGAAACTACTAATACTTTTATGCTCATATATCAAAAAAATATACTTAAGAAGAGGAAAAAAAAAGTGAAGATGGCTACTTGGGTGCATGGGCGGATCCGTGTTGAGATAAGGTCACAAATGCCCACCCTAAAAAAATAATAATGTATTAGGGAGGGTATTTTTGATATCCCCCCAAAAAAAAATAATTTTTTTTTGTCATAATTTTATCAATCTCATCTCAAGTGTCCTTGCCCATTCGCAATTCACAGCCAACCCACTTTTGCGATTCGCAAATCCCCTCTTCCTTGTCGCATTCGACTAGCAAGACGTTGCCACCTTGGTCTTAAAAGCCTTCGTCTTCGTAAAACTCTTCTTTCCAATCGCATTCGACTTTCAAGAGGTCGCTCTCAGTTTGAACTTCGTAGCTTCTTGCAAATCTCAACCTACGTCTTCGTCGGCTCTTCGCAGTTCGAGTCGCAGCCTTCGGCCCGAAGCTGGTTTGAAGAGGTCCCTACTACTCCACTTGCTCTATTTCTTGCTTTTCTTTTTCCTTATCTACATAATGAAAATTTTCTAGTATATTGTTTGTTCACTCTTAAATCACAGGTGGTTGGATTGTTTGTTCTCTCTTCGAAGCCAACTTTCCCATTTCCGTGAGCCTTCCTTGTTTTGGCTCCCACGAGAATGTAAATATCTTCTTGCCTTTTATTTGAAGTGATTTCTTTTAGCAAAACTTCTTAGTAAATTTTATTTTTTTATTCATATAAAATTTGAAACTCCAAACAATCAAATCCGCCTTAATTTTCGAATATTACTTCCCTGAATTTCTGTATTAAATTCACATGCACCAACATCACGGCTGTGTCCTTTTCCCCTTCTTTCATCTCTTCCCAGGTTATTCATGGGACTTTTTCCTCTGGCTCCTCTTTTCCTCTGGCTCCTCTCCTCCTATTTTACTGTCTGTCATTTATGCTGCTAATCAGCCGGAAGATAGGAAGGCTCTCTGGGACAATCTGCTTCATATTTCCAAAGACATTCATCTTCCCTGGGCTGTCATGGGTGACTTTAATTGTCACAGATTCGACTATGAGAAGGCGGGGGGTTCTCCTTTGCCCCTTGGACGTTTGGGGGAGCTTAATAATTTTATTTTCAACTGTGGGCTTCAAGACCTCTCCTCTGTTGGCCTGCTCTATACCTGGTTTAATCAAAGGATTGATTTGCCCATCCACATTAAGCTCGACAGAATTTTGGTGAATTCAGATTTTCTGGACTTCTTTCCTATGGCTCATTACAAGGTGGATTCTCCCTGCGGTTCTGACCATTCTCCGATTATTTTGTTGGCTAACTCTGTTAATAGAATCTTCTCAAGGTTCTTGTTCAAGAAATTTTGGCTCAATTTAGATGGGTTTTGGGAAGTTTTACTCAATGTTTTTCATACTCCTAATATGGCTAGCCCTATCTCTGCATTTTACAATTGTTTGAAAGCCCTGAAAATTAAAATCAAAGGTAT